TTTTAATAAATAGTATATTTATTTAAATACATTATACTATACACCAAAAGTATTTAAACTGAGATTAATTCATTCAAATGATTTGTACATATTGTAGAATAGATATAATTATCGTAGTTTACACATATTATTATCATATTGTTTGTAAAGATAATATTTTTCTAATTACGTAAAAATTGATATATTGGTAAAATTTCGCAAATAAAAGGTAATATGCTATCACAGGATACAACTTTCCAAAAAGAACCAGGTTTTACTTCAGGTAATTGTACAAGACTCACACATCCTTTCGAGTGCGATGGTTGTCCCTTTCCCCATGCTCGATAATTAAAACAAAACAGTGGTTCGCCTGAAAGTTGTACACAGTTTTTATTATTTATTTGTAGTATCCGAGATCTGTAAAAATAACATTGCACTGTAGTATAATAGGAAAAATTTGTATGGAAAAATAATAATCTTTAAAAATTAAAATTTGGAAAATTTTCTACTTTTTTTCTGCTTAATTAGGTTTGCATGCTGCAACGAAAATGTTATACTTTTTTCATTAAGAATATAATTAACAATGTTAAAATTTAAGCAAAAATTTTGTTTCAGCGGACAGTAATGATACAATTTCTACCGTTGAAGCACATTTTCGTAGTATCAAATTTCAGTAAAATACCAAATTCGTTTTTCCAAAGTTTCTCATTGTTACGGTTACTGAGTCCAACGAAAGTGGGTGTGTTTAGTGAAATGTACTTGGCGAGACCATTCGTACGTTCTTCGCTAATTATGTGAGCAAGCGATGCATTGAATTTTTGGCAAGCAGTTTGTGCTTGGCTATAATTCAAGTTATTGCTTGAAAACACGAATACCCCTGCTCTAGGGATACAGGCCAGTGTAAAGCTGGAATCTAAATGTAGTTTGTACAAATTTTTTGTCAGATATACAAGTATATCACGTACCTCTGTTCTTCGATTCGTTTACCTATTGAAATGGAGCTAGGATACGTGCTGTAATATTTATAATTTTTATCATGCACAAGGGTAGTGAAGTTATGAATCTCAGGGCACTGAAGAACTTGGCATATTTTTCTGGTTCCTCTTCTTCTGTTTTGAGTACCGATGTTCCATTCTACGTTGATACAAACAAACACCTTTTTTTTATGCGTTTTCATAGCAGTAATAAGTACGATCACTCAGTGTTATAACGTATTTACAATTTTTCCTCTTACCATAACGACCAACTTCCAAACCATAATTAAATGCCAATGCTTTCTTTGCCCAGGCAAACTTTCTACATTCGCTTATATTCTGGACCGTCGCTGTTGAAAGTATTAACTGATCCGAGCGGGCGTTAGATTTCATTAATTTATAGTATGGTAATTCTCGCGAATCAATCTGGCAGCAACTGTCGCACATAATTAAGTTCAGCTTTAAGCGCATTATAAAGTATACTAAAATTATAATTACTCTTTTCATTTTGGAAAACTCGTAACGGAATCTTATCCACTTGAACGTTCACACGAATATGCGTTATTTATTCTACAACTGCAATATCTCCCGCTAATTCATCGTAGAAACGTAATTCAATGTCAAAGCTAATTAACTTATATATGTGCCGACATATGATATACACACAATGCAAATGGATTTCCAATCATTTGTGCGCTTGACTTTTATTGAAATGTAACGAATCAGGATGATAATTAAATTGTAACAATTGATTGCGTTGATATGATGCGAGCGAGGGAGGAAGTATTTGCTTAAAAATGAATTTTCAAAAAACATAAAATACATTTAGTTTTTATTATTATTTAAGACAGTTGCTAAATTTATAAACAATATGGTAACAATTGAGGAGTTGAAATGGTAAACGATGTAAGAGGCACAAATAGTACATTACAAGTAGAGTGTACAGATAAATAAATTTAAGTAATCTGATACATTTTTTACCATTTTAACGTACAATAGAATGGTACATTTACCATTTCATAAATATACCATTTATTTTCCCTCAAAATCTGTAAAGGTGGTAAACGCTAAAAATTCATAGCGATCAAGTGATAAACGATCTAAGTGTCGAAATTAAAAGGCACATGTTTCTTATTTACACTGAAAACTTTCACCTCAAACGCTAACATCGTTTACGATGTCAACTCCTCAATTTACACTAGCAGGTACTTCCTACGAGATATCGAAAATTGTACGGTAAATAGATTTTTCTTTCGAATTACTATACAGTATGTATTGCTAGGAAAAACAGTAAACGCTAACATCGTTTACGATGTCAACTCCTCAATTTACACTAGCAGGTACTTCCTACGAGATATCGAATTGTACGGTAAATAGATTTTTCTTTCGAATTACTATACAGTATGTATTGCTAGGAAAAACAGGTACTTCAGTTTTGCAACATATGTACATCATTATAATTAATCGCATGTCACAGTTAACGAGAATGTTTAAAACGTTAAATAAATCTCTTGGAAACTTGCAAAAGTTCAATTCTTTCGGTTAATTTAAATGAACTAGAATAAAAAAAAAGTGTTAGAATAGAAATGTAGAACAAATAGAGGTCTTAAACGAATTGTTTGAAATAATTAGTATATCGTGTAATATTTTTGTGAAAGATCTACGCCAACAAACTGTCAACTGCTTTCGTAACCTCGGCAAATATATCGTCCACAGAGCCTTCAGCATTAATCTTAAATAAAATAATTTTGCGATTAACACATCTTTGTACCTATTCATTGTGTTACGATACGACTTGAACACGAGAATACTTACTTTAACAACTTTGTCTTTGTAATGCGCAACAATTTCCCCATTTTTCACATTGAATATTTCGATTCTCTTGTTGATCGTCTCCTCATTATCGTCAGCTCTTTGAGACACAGCCGCACGCCCTAACAGTCTCTTCTTCAACGTGTCGTTCGAAACGTCGAAGAAAATGATTAAATCGACTGGGCACACCTAAATTCGTGAAACATTTAACATTCAAAGTTTTCCTTCTTTTCTATGTGTTAGCAATTTTCAACCTTTTATATTAAACACTTATCTGGTACAATTTCGAAAGTTTGTAGTTAAAAGAAAAAATTGAAAAAAATTAAACAATTTTGAAAACAACAGTATATTATGTCGTTTAATAGAAAATCACAAATTAAATTTTATATCCGCATAATATTATTTTATTGTAATATCTTTTAATTATTTTCAAAGTTCTTTCATTGTACGAAACATTGTTAACCCTTTGACTTATGATTTTCTTGCTGACTATGCATCAGCTGTTTACTGTTTTAGACAAGAAAAGTTAATGTATTATAGATTAATTACATTTGGTAATACTGAGTCTAATAAATTAAAACGAAAGTTAGAACTGAAATTCATTTTTTTTTTTTTTTTAAATGAAACTGTTTCTGTCATATCTCGACCAGAATCTGTGCCACGAGTCTGACTCGTTGTTATAAGGCAAGGGGTTAATACCTTTATTGAGAATCACTTTTTGTTATAACAGACAATGTGCATATACGATAACCATTTCGTTAAACGCTTACATTCTTCTCAAAGAGAAGGCCTTGTTCTAATTCACGGGGATATCCATCGATAAGAAATCCGGTTTTTGTAGCTTCTTCTTTTTTAGCTTTTTCCATTCGTTCCCTTATCAGGTCCAATACAATATCCTAATAGAAAATAAGATTTATTCGTTGATCACATTTTATTTCTTATTTTTACTTACAAAAGAGAATCACCACGTGTAAATCGCCGATTTTTATGAAACTGGTATATGGTAGTATTGAAAGAAATATTTGACACGTATTTTTATCGGCATTCATCCACATTGAAAGAGTGAAAATCGTCCTCAAAGATGGGTGTAACAAACACACTTGTTTTGAACTATTTTTTTATTTTTTATTTTTCAAATTTGTTGTTGAAAATCTCAAAATTCGTTAACTTACACTATTCCTTCATCTCTAATAGTTTTCGAAATATTAGATTAAATATATTTACCACCTCCAACTTTGAGAGCGATTTTCACCCCTCCAATGTAGGCGATTACTGATATAAAAAAAAATTCGTATCGAATATTTTTTTCAGAATTACTATATACCAAAGTTTCATGAAAATCGGTGATTATCACTTCGGGTTGTTCCCTTATGAGTGCATTCACTAGTAGGACAGCTTGTAACACTGTATCGAAAACATAAAAATGGGTACACGCAACAGCATCTTTTTCGATAGAGTAAAGCATAATTTACCGTTGGGACAAATAACCCTTTGGACATTAATTCTTGAAGAGAAGCTCCTCTGGGGCTGCCGGTGGCGACCTCTTCGCGCAAGAGGTCACCGCTGCTTATATGAAAAAAACCATATTTTGCAATGATACGTTCGCACTGTGTTCCTTTGCCACAACCTGGTCCACCAATTATCCAAACAGTCTTCATTTCTTTAAAATTGTGCGATGATTTCTGTGCAGTAAATACAAAACACCTGAATTCAGGGTTGAAAATATAATTTACAATTGTCCTCTACTTGTGCTTATTTCTCGCCCTAACCAAGAATGCATCTTTTGGTGCAGTGAACTCAACTTCGTCAAATCGTGAATCTCGTCATAGTAATTTAGTTAACCTTCTTAAACGATTAATATGTGAATATTTCACGATTTAACTCTTTCGTGACCAGTGGGACGCTTGTGTAATATATGTAGTATCGGAAATTCTCTGAGCAGTCGTAAGAGAGAAAGGGCAATGAACTAGACCCTTCGCCGAGGGGCCTCATTGACGCACGAGGCCCACCGACGCGTCAGTCCTTTCGGGAAAAACCAAAATGGCGGCGTGTACTGAGGGTGACGAACAAGTACGACAATTGTGTGTGTAGTGGGAGAAAGCGAAGGCATGGAAAGAAAACTGAGTACAAATAGAGAGGGTGGCGAATGGAAAAAAGGTTGTTGGTTGTTGTCGTCGCGTAGAGTGTGTCTCGTAAAGAGTCGTTGTCGAATTTATATCGTGTCAAACCGTTTATATTAACTTCATTTTACTCACTGTAATAACTATCGTTCATGTAAATATATTCAATAATTATTATCTGAAAAAGAAAGACAAACCTACAAAGATACCACGTATAAACTGTTCACCTCTGCCTGAGTAGTTTTAAGGTTATGTCCTAACTGGATGTCGTACAACGAAAAAATCGTTGTCGTCCGATCAACCGACCAACGCGACAAGAAAGAAATAAATCACATTCCATGTTCGCGTCCAAATTGGCAACACGTGCGATGCGACAACGACGATTTTGTCTGTCATTGACAAACAATGACATTGTTTGAATTTCAAAAGAGTTTGTTTTTCGCACGCACGAAGTCCTGGCGACAAATTGGTGATTAAGAAACCGTGATTCTGATTAAGATTCGGACTTAGAATTCGACTTTTTAACACGGACGCCCGTCTCTGCTATTTTTGAGGACTTTCATTTTTTGAAACTTTTGTTAAATTAACTCTCTTTGTATTTTGTGTATTTTTAATAATATATATTTTAAATAATTATTTTCATTAAGAAAAAGAAACTCAGACTTCGACAAAGGCATTTTGAAAACTGACCGCTTTGGTCGCAAATAGTTTTCGACAGCCGCCGTATATGGACACTGTCGCATTGTCGTTCGACCGACCGATTTTGTCGCTATACGACATCTAGTCAGGACGTAGGCTAAGGGGCGCAGAAAGAAAGCAATAAGGCCTGATACACACTAGCGGTCCGCTCCCGGTCCGGTCAAATATTCTTCTACGATTTAGAACGTACCTCTTCACTCTAATTTCGTCCCAGCAACTATCTTTGGAAAGAATATTTTACCACTGAGTGGGTATTCCATTTCAATTCCGATTTTGATGAAACTGTAATATGTTGCAGTCTATTTTCTTTTCATTCGCATCACAAAAGATGAAAGTTTCTAAGAATATTTTTAATTTTGTTGTACGCACTCCTTTTCAGTATGAAAATTGTAAATAAATTTCTGTCTTGCAAAAACGAACCCTTATCCTCGTTTTGAAAAATCTGACAAAAATGTATGTTGTAGTTTACGTGAAATAATGATGAGTTTATGTCATGATTTTGTTGGCTTCAAAGTTATTAACAAATGATAACATGTTGGAAATCGCGAAAAAGCGGATTTTTAGTCAAACATAGATGTATAAACCAATTTATATTTCGAGAGCAAAGCGGGATTGGACTGTGACCACACCAGGAGCGGACCGCTAGTGTGTGTCGAGCACAAAAGAGAAAGCTAGAGACACGAACCAAGCCCTCTTGCGGGGAGCCCCGAAAAGGCACAAAGCGGCCCACCGACGCGTTTGCTGTTTGTTGGGGGAAAAACCCAGAAGCGCGTACGTGGAATGAAAGTTTTGTGAAGAATGGAAGTGTCCAATTTTAATCCATAAATGCGAATTATTCGTAAACTACCAGTTGTACGAAAAATGGTCCAGAGAGGAATTGAATGGTTTCAAGAGGGACAGAATTTGGTGTAATTAGTTTTCCTGTAGATAGACGTTTTGATGTCATATGAAGGTGACATACGTTTTTTTAAATGAAACCATATAATTTTCCCATATAACCATGTAATTTTGTATTAAGGTATTTATATCGAAAAACCATTAGTTTAGGAGTTATTTTAGTCTCAATATTACAAAGTAGTAGTAGTAGGACCTATCTGTATCTACATTTTCTGAATTGACAATGGGCATTGTTTTTTTACAAAATAATAGCAGAAGAATGAGACGAAGTCAACCATATAAATGGTGGTTACTTTTATGAGTAAAATATATATCGAACAAATTGGTTTTCAATTTTTTAAACTACGGCGTACCTTGTCAAAACATCTAAAAATATTAAGGATAATAGTTATGTTAAGATGCTGCTACTAAAAAGATATAAAAATCGTCGTTTTAAAATTTCAAAAGAAGTGCGCGTTCCTTTGCCTTTTTCCAGTTTTTACAACTAGGATTTACAACGAAAGAATCAGAAGAAATTACGTAATATGCACCTTTATATGTGCAATGTGTCAAATTTTTTTCAAAATTTGTGCACACCACTAAATAGAGAAAATAGTGCAAAAACTGATAATCCGAATTTTTCCTGTATCTATATCCTGGTCTAGAAAGAGGGTTGAAACTTGGTGCCAAATGTTTTCTTTCGGCAAGCTATCAAATGGTCCATTACAAGACCAATTTGGTTTAAGGGTACTTTTGACCCCCTTATCCTGCTAGAGCCTTTGTTCGTATCGTCAATAACCACAAAAGTGCGCCATATACAAGGTGTTCGGCTAGTCCCGGAAAAAAATTCTCGGAGTGTATTTCTAGAAATTGATATAAGGAAAAGAATTTTTTATTTCCTTGCCGGCGATGGCGGCTAGCAGAAGAGGTTTTGCAATAACTCCTCCATTTTGTAACATTTTTACTTTTTAAAAAATTAAAGAAAGAAGCTAAAAGTTACATTATCGTCCTCTGCGAAAATAATTCCCAAACTTCACTTACTTATTCTTAGACACCTCAGGATGGTGTACACCCTAAAACCAACGACACATGGTCAGCGGTAACGTCGTTTATAGCGCCAAATGTCACTGCCTTCATCTCTATTTTTACGAGGTAAGGTTCCGGCATGTGTCGTTAGTTTTGAGGATCACTGTACCTCCCGTATCTTGATGTGACCTATATTCGTTGGTGTAGGAAGGTTTGCTCGGTTTCAGGGATATTTTTAAACGTCAATAACTTAAAAAATAAAGCTTCATACCTAATTTTTTATTCTTGATTTTCGTCTTATATCGGCTTCTACAATCATCCCCTGAATTATCTCCCAGGAGTAACCGAACACCCTGTATATTGTATTTCCTGCTTTTGATTTTTTTTTAACGCAATAACGTAGAATATTTGAAATACTTATTTTCTGTGCTTTTTGTAGTTGATTGAGAAAGAACAGAAGGTTTGGTCTTGTTTTTCTTTTAAATCGTTTATACTACTACCTTTACCATACGAAATACTAAAAAATGTAAAAAAAAAAAAAGAGGTATTGTCTTATTTTCCTTAAATGAAACATGGAAAGATATAGAAGTGATTATGGTATTCGACTTGAAGAAATAAGAAAAATGTCACTTTCACTCTTTAAACATTAATCAACGAAGATTTGGTACGTGTCACATAGTAAGATTCAATCAAAAAATTTAAAAAAAAAAATTTAAGAAATTTCATTCAGCATTTTTAAAGGTTTTTAAGAGAAAAATGTTTGTAAATAATGAATATTTTTATAAATAACCTCATTTTGCTGCGATTTTTGGTTAGCACATTGACATGTCAGCATGTTATTTAAATCACCTCAATCAATATCTATTTTGTTTCTAATATTCTGTCTCTTTATAGTCCCCTTGAACTTTAAGGCAATTTTCATACATGAACGTTTCACAATAAGACTGAACGTTGTATATTATGTACAGCCCAGTGCCCATATAAATTTACGTTCACCGACGTGATTATGTTATAAATAGTTGTAAGCAATTATTCGCTATTTCAGGTGAAAATTATGCATTGAAACATTTTTTAAACGCACATTATGAACCTGAATTTTTATTTCGACTAGATCAATTCATATTCATAATTAAATCTCATCTGTATCACATTAATAAATACAACCTTAATAAGAATAAATATCGTACAAAACTTCCAATACAAGTTCGGTTTTTCAATAATCGAGGTCATATTATTTTTTATGGTACATTTTCATAGATTTGGGTGTATATTGAGAAATTCTGCATGATTTTGAAAACATTCAATTAACAAATGATATTTTTTCGTATCACTGGACACTGTTTATCAAATGTTTTCGATAAACTTTTTTATCTATAAACTTATCTTGATCAATTTTTTTGCTATTCCATCTCAAAGCGGTATCACTTAAACGTTAAAATGATAAGTATGTATTTCATGTCTGCTTACTTACAATGAGGAAGTTGAAATTGTCACGAACTGAATTGACACGAATTAATCTAGATGATAGTCGTTAAAATCTTATAACTGATACTATTAAATAGTGGACTATTTTCCCATACATTTTCTCAGTACATACGAAATTTTACAGTGCAGCAAATGATTTGTTCATACAATCAAAAACGGTCTTACATAATAACAGATAACTTTTTCGTCTATTTTATTATCCTTTCTATGTATAATTTTATATGCTTGTATAAAATAAAAGAAAGATTCTTTCGAATTTTAACTTGCATACCACTATACGACTGTGTGGTACATATTGTATTCAAATAAAAATATGAAAGCTCACGGAATAATTAACAATTTTTGAAGAAAGGACATTTATAAAAAATTTATAAGAGTTCACAGTATCAAATGAACATTTTTATGACAATGTGACTTTTCAATTACGATTTCATTTAACACGTGTCATTCAACTGAAGTTGTAATAACGACAAAAGTGATACATATTAAAAATGGCGCGATTACGAATTTATAGAGATTGTATTTTTGCTTTGATAGATTTCACTTGAAATTATTACGATAGGCACATTAATAATGCACGTGACCGTTTACTTACTATTCAAGACACATCGGACCCGAGATTTCACTATTAACTGTTGAGAAGAATAGTCAAAGCTTTCGCGTTGAAATTTCGAACATATCGATTTGTCATTGGCTCGTTGTCATCAGGTGGGAGTCATTTCACGCATGTGCAACGACATAAGGTCAGCATCTTGCACGCAAAATGGATACAGTGCACACACTGCGTATACATACATAGTAATGTGTAACTCACACCCTTGGCACCTTGAACTTCCTATCATCCCCAATGTTAGCACACGGAAATAATCCAAGTGTCTCTAAAATTACTTCACCGCCGACAAATATGATCTTCAATATTAAAACAAACTACAGCACTCTAGCAATTGAACATGAACGGAAAAATCACAAATTTCGAAGGGTCGACCGACCGATTTTGTCGCTATACGACATCTAGTCAGGACGTAGGCTAAGGGGCGCAGAAAGAAAGCAATAAGGCCTGATACACACTAGCGGTCCGCTCCCGGTCCGGTCAAATATTCTTCTACGATTTAGAACGTACCTCTTCACTCTAATTTCGTCCCAGCAACTATCTTTGGAAAGAATATTTTACCACTGAGTGGGTATTCCATTTCAATTCCGATTTTGATGAAACTGTAATATGTTGCAGTCTATTTTCTTTTCATTCGCATCACAAAAGATGAAAGTTTCTAAGAATATTTTTAATTTTGTTGTACGCACTCCTTTTCAGTATGAAAATTGTAAATAAATTTCTGTCTTGCAAAAACGAACCCTTATCCTCGTTTTGAAAAATCTGACAAAAATGTATGTTGTAGTTTACGTGAAATAATGATGAGTTTATGTCATGATTTTGTTGGCTTCAAAGTTATTAACAAATGATAACATGTTGGAAATCGCGAAAAAGCGGATTTTTAGTCAAACATAGATGTATAAACCAATTTATATTTCGAGAGCAAAGCGGGATTGGACTGTGACCACACCAGGAGCGGACCGCTAGTGTGTGTCGAGCACAAAAGAGAAAGCTAGAGACACGAACCAAGCCCTCTTGCGGGGGGCCCCGAAAACGCACAAAGCGGCCCACCGACGCGTTTGCTGTTTGTTGGGGGAAAAACCCAGAAGCGCGTGCGTGGGAATGAAAGTTTTGTGAAGAATGGAAGTGTCCAATTTTAATCCATAAATGCGTATTATTCGTAAACTACCAGTTGTACGAAAAATGGTCCAGAGAGGAATTGAATGGTTTCAAGAGGGACAGAATTTGGTGTAATTAGTTTTCCTGTAGATAGACGTTTTGATGTCATATGAAGGTGACATACGTTTTTTTAAATGAAACCATATAATTTTCCCATATAACCATGTAATTTTGTATTAAGGTATTTATATCGAAAAACCATTAGTTTAGGAGTTATTTTAGTCTCAATATTACAAAGTAGTAGTAGTAGGACCTATCTGTATCTACATTTTCTGAATTGACAATGGGCATTGTTTTTTTACAAAATAATAGCAGAAGAATGAGACGAAGTCAACCATATAAATGGTGGTTACTTTTATGAGTAAAATATATATCGAACAAATTGGTTTTCAATTTTTTAAACTACGGCGTACCTTGTCAAAACATCTAAAAATATTAAGGATAATAGTTATGTTAAGATGCTGCTACTAAAAAGATATAAAAATCGTCGTTTTAAAATTTCAAAAGAAGTGCGCGTTCCTTTGCCTTTTTCCAGTTTTTACAACTAGGATTTACAACGAAAGAATCAGAAGAAATTACGTAATATGCACCTTTATATGTGCAATGTGTCAAATTTTTTTCAAAATTTGTGCACACCACTAAATAGAGAAAATAGTGCAAAAACTGATAATCCGAATTTTTCCTGTATCTATATCCTGGTCTAGAAAGAGGGTTGAAACTTGGTGCCAAATGTTTTCTTTCGGCAAGCTATCAAATGGTCCATTACAAGACCAATTTGGTTTAAGGGTACTTTTGACCCCCTTATCCTGCTAGAGCCTTTGTTCGTATCGTCAATAACCACAAAAGTGCGCCATATACAAGGTGTTCGGCTAGTCCCGGAAAAAAATTCTCGGAGTGTATTTCTAGAAATTGATATAAGGAAAAGAATTTTTTATTTCCTTGCCGGCGATGGCGGCTAGCAGAAGAGGTTTTGCAATAACTCCTCCATTTTGTAACATTTTTACTTTTTAAAAAATTAAAGAAAGAAGCTAAAAGTTACATTATCGTCCTCTGCGAAAATAATTCCCAAACTTCACTTACTTATTCTTAGACACCTCAGGATGGTGTACACCCTAAAACCAACGACACATGGTCAGCGGTAACGTCGTTTATAGCGCCAAATGTCACTGCCTTCATCTCTATTTTTACGAGGTAAGGTTCCGGCATGTGTCGTTAGTTTTGAGGATCACTGTACCTCCCGTATCTTGATGTGACCTATATTCGTTGGTGTAGGAAGGTTTGCTCGGTTTCAGGGATATTTTTAAACGTCAATAACTTAAAAAATAAAGCTTCATACCTAATTTTTTATTCTTGATTTTCGTCTTATATCGGCTTCTACAATCATCCCCTGAATTATCTCCCAGGAGTAACCGAACACCCTGTATATTGTATTTCCTGCTTTTGATTTTTTTTTAACGCAATAACGTAGAATATTTGAAATACTTATTTTCTGTGCTTTTTGTAGTTGATTGAGAAAGAACAGAAGGTTTGGTCTTGTTTTTCTTTTAAATCGTTTATACTACTACCTTTACCATACGAAATACTAAAAAATGTAAAAAAAAAAAAAGAGGTATTGTCTTATTTTCCTTAAATGAAACATGGAAAGATATAGAAGTGATTATGGTATTCGACTTGAAGAAATAAGAAAAATGTCACTTTCACTCTTTAAACATTAATCAACGAAGATTTGGTACGTGTCACATAGTAAGATTCAATCAAAAAATTTAAGAAATTTCATTCAGCATTTTTAAAGGTTTTTAAGAGAAAAATGTTTGTAAATAATGAATATTTTTATAAATAACCTCATTTTGCTGCGATTTTTGGTTAGCACATTGACATGTCAGCATGTTATTTAAATCACCTCAATCAATATCTATTTTGTTTCTAATATTCTGTCTCTTTATAGTCCCCTTGAACTTTAAGGCAATTTTCATACATGAACGTTTCACAATAAGACTGAACGTTGTATATTATGTACAGCCCAGTGCCCATATAAATTTACGTTCACCGACGTGATTATGTTATAAATAGTTGTAAGCAATTATTCGCTATTTCAGGTGAAAATTATGCATTGAAACATTTTTTAAACGCACATTATGAACCTGAATTTTTATTTCGACTAGATCAATTCATATTCATAATTAAATCTCATCTGTATCACATTAATAAATACAACCTTAATAAGAATAAATATCGTACAAAACTTCCAATACAAGTTCGGTTTTTCAATAATCGAGGTCATATTATTTTTTATGGTACATTTTCATAGATTTGGGTGTATATTGAGAAATTCTGCATGATTTTGAAAACATTCAATTAACAAATGATATTTTTTCGTATCACTGGACACTGTTTATCAAATGTTTTCGATAAACTTTTTTATCTATAAACTTATCTTGATCAATTTTTTTGCTATTCCATCTCAAAGCGGTATCACTTAAACGTTAAAATGATAAGTATGTATTTCATGTCTGCTTACTTACAATGAGGAAGTTGAAATTGTCACGAACTGAATTGACACGAATTAATCTAGATGATAGTCGTTAAAATCTTATAACTGATACTATTAAATAGTGGACTATTTTCCCATACATTTTCTCAGTACATACGAAATTTTACAGTGCAGCAAATGATTTGTTCATACAATCAAAAACGGTCTTACATAATAACAGATAACTTTTTCGTCTATTTTATTATCCTTTCTATGTATAATTTTATATGCTTGTATAAAATAAAAGAAAGATTCTTTCGAATTTTAACTTGCATACCACTATACGACTGTGTGGTACATATTGTATTCAAATAAAAATATGAAAGCTCACGGAATAATTAACAATTTTTGAAGAAAGGACATTTATAAAAAATTTATAAGAGTTCACAGTATCAAATGAACATTTTTATGACAATGTGACTTTTCAATTACGATTTCATTTAACACGTGTCATTCAACTGAAGTTGTAATAACGACAAAAGTGATACATATTAAAAATGGCGCGATTACGAATTTATAGAGATTGTATTTTTGCTTTGATAGATTTCACTTGAAATTATTACGATAGGCACATTAATAATGCACGTGACCGTTTACTTACTATTCAAGACACATCGGACCCGAGATTTCACTATTAACTGTTGAGAAGAATAGTCAAAGCTTTCGCGTTGAAATTTCGAACATATCGATTTGTCATTGGCTCGTTGTCATCAGGTGGGAGTCATTTCACGCATGTGCAACGACATAAGGTCAGCATCTTGCACGCAAAATGGATACAGTGCACACACTGCGTATACATACATAGTAATGTGTAACTCACACCCTTGGCACCTTGAACTTCCTATCATCCCCAATGTTAGCACACGGAAATAATCCAAGTGTCTCTAAAATTACTTCACCGCCGACAAATATGATCTTCAATATTAAAACAAACTACAGCACTCTAGCAATTGAACATGAACGGAAAAATCACAAATTTCGAAGGGTAGATTATCTTTGAAAACTGTAAATTCTTTAAATTTTGAATTTGTTTTCTTTTACCTCAACAACACGATTATCTTGTTCCAATGCGTAAATGAATATGTAATTTCGTTGGAATACACTGAAAATTAAAAATATTATGCAACACAAGGTATATACTTTTTACAGTTGTCATAAATCGATATAAATTTCAAAAATTTGTGCGCTCGCTTAAAAGCTGTAGGACGACTAAAATAATTTCGGCACGTAGGCTATTCGCCAGATTAGGTGGTGTATAGCATTTAGTTGTGTAGGTAAATGTATACAGTCAGAGCTTGCAGAACGTACAGAGTTTAAAAATAAATATGCGATAAATGTTGAATCCTAGTTTCTATTCACGTAATCAGGTCACGAATTATACCACCCCCTTAAAATTTTAACCAACACTAAATCCTCCAATCCTTATTCGTTTTTTAACGGATAAGGGAAATCTTTTTGTTTAAAGCAACGCCATCTATCGTTGGTTTAGAAGAACTCGTTATTATAAAGATAATTTAGCAATATTAATTATTGAATGATAATATGATTACAATACAAAATAGAGTACAAATGTAATACAAATATTGTATAAATATTACATATCATAATTGATATTTTAATAGTTATTGAAAAATTTTAACGTTTGAAAATATTATTCCAATTGTACTGTTAAAATATTAATATGAAAGTATGAAAATATGAACATTATAACATTTTTTGAAAGTAAGTATTCTGTAACAATTCTTCTTAGTAAAAAATAGTACATTAAAAAGTTAAATATTAATGAAACAATAAAGATGAATCAATTATTTGCTGTAAATTAATTTTGTATAATCTTAAATTCTTTAGGTATTACTTGTCCAATACCACGTAAGTACTTAACATAGAAGAAAAATAATTATGCTTACATGTGTTAGGAGCTTAATTTATATTCTCATTCTCGTAATTATATTTATTTTATTTTCATATAATGTCTAACTCAACTAATTATCATTTGTATTTTCTCAAATTATATACAATCTGTTAACGGGTTTAAATTTTATTGTGATTGGTCAATCATTTTCGATAAACCTATTTCTGTTGAGTGTGAACCATACTTAACGCTTGTATCCTAGCAGAATAATCTCGAATATATTTACAGGTTACAGAACTGCACTCAGGCACTGTGCGTGAAATTTGAACATAACCGGAAAATCATAAAATAAATAATAAAAATGGTGAGTCAGAATAAAATGTTTTATTTTTTTAAGAAGAAACAAAATTTTCATTCACAAATATTATTTAACTTTGTATTACAAGTTTTATTATAAACCACTTACTATCTAACAGAACTTCCTAAAGGAAATGTTTTATGACAGCAAATAGTAGCTTCCACTTATATTAATAATTAGTTATATTTAGATATACTAGTATCCACAAGGTATCAATAAATTAACAAGCAAAAAAAAAATGAATATCGTATTATGAATTGAGTTGCTCTAACCTTATATGGAGATTAATTTCAGCTTACTCCCACAATGTGCTTGTGGAAATAATCCAATGTTAATAGAATGTCTAATACTTCAGAATTAATGTAAACTGATCTATTTTACTTCCAATAAATATTTTACATACAAGAAAACAAAAAATAGGATTCTTAATTCATTTGTCTTATAAAATCTGACAGGCTTGACAAAAAGCTTTCAGTTGCCATATTATTACAAAAGCCATATGTACATTTGACCACAAAATAATAAAAATGAGAAGATACTCATATGTTCATGCTTTTTTTCAGCAGCATCAAATAATTTTACTCAAAGAAGGCACAGATGCATCACAAGGAAAACAACAGTTAATATCAAATATAAATGCATGTCAAATAGTTGTAGATGCTGTAAGGACTACTTTAGGTCCTCGAGGCATGGACAAACTTATTGTTGATCAAAATGGAAAAGCCACTATTTCAAATGATGGTGCAACCATTTTGAAACTTTTAGAAGTTGTTCATCCTGCAGCAAAAACCTTAGTAGATATTGCAAAATCTCAAGATGCAGAGGTAAGAAATATTTTGTAAATATTAATACTGTAAAAAAGTAAAATGGTAATGGAACTAAAATGTAGCATTACCAACGTATTTACAGAAAATAATATGTTAGGAACTCATAGACTGGTAACATTTTAAAGATTTACAGTTGCCTCAATAATGTTCAAACATTTTATTAAACTATAACTATTTCATTAAAATATTATACATTAAGATTTTAATTTTTTGTATTTTGCACTGCAGGTTGGTGATGGTACCACAAGTGTAGTTTTATTGGCAGGAGAATTTTTGAAGCAAATGAAACCATTTATTGAAGAAGGAGTACACCCACGTATTATGATTAAAGCTCTTCGTCTTGCACTTCAAGTAGCTGTTGACAAAATAAATGCAGTGAGTGTGAAAATAGATAAATCTAATCAAACAGAACTAATAGAACTCTTAGAAGAATGTGCAGCTACATCTATGAGTTCAAAGTTAATTCATCGGCAAAAAGAGTTTTTCAGTCGTATGGTTGTGGAAGCTGTTACAATGCTTGATGAATTGTTACCTCTTAATATGATTGGTTTTAAAAAGGTAAGTTTAATGACAGATTTAACAATTGATTTATAGATACAATATTTGTGTTGAAACAAAAACTGTATATAGGTTTCTGGAGGAGCATTAGAAGATTCTGAACAAATTAAAGGTGTAGCTTTTAAAAAAACATTTTCTTATGCTGGATTTGAAATGCAACCTAAAAAGTATAATGATTGCAAAATTGCTTTATTGAATATCGAATTAGAGCTTAAAGCAGAACGAGATAATGCTGAAATACGTGTGGATAATGTTGCGGAATATCAAAAAATAGTAGATGCTGAATGGCAAATTTTGTACGACAAGCTTGATAAAATCCATAAGAGTGGAGCACAAGTTGTATTGTCGAAATTACCCATTGGTGATGTTGCTACTCAATATTTCGCAGATAGAGATATGTTTTGTGCAGGTAGAGTTCCTGAGGAAGATTTAAAAAGAACAATGCATGCTTGTGGTGGAAGTATTCTAACAACTGTACTTGATATCAAAGAAGCAGACCTTGGTAGATGTGAAATATTTGTAGAGAGACAAATTGGAGGAGAAAGGTATTTAAAATGCAGTATTACGAGTTATGAGTATGTAACTAACGCATTTTGTCAATGATTGTTATGTCAAAATAATCATTTCTAGATTCAATGTCTTCTATAATGGATCGCGTGCTAAAGCATGTACATTTATATTACGTGGAGGAGCAGAACAATTTTTGGAAGAAACTGAAAGGTCTTTGCATGATGCTATTATGGTTGTAAGACGTTTGTTTAAAACAAATGCCTATGTAGTTGGTGGAGGAGCTATTGAAATGGAATTGTCAAAGACATTACGAGATTATTCTCGTATTATAGCAGGAAAAGAACAACTTTTAATTGGAGCAATAGCTCGCGCACTTGAAGTTATACCAAGGTATTTGCTTTTTTCTTTTAATTTTTATTTTATTACTTATAATTTTAGGGTTGTAGAAAATAATAAATATATTAATTCCAGACAATTATGTGACAATGCTGGTTTCGATGCAACAAATATTTTGAATAAATTACGGCAGAAACAGCATAAAGGTATGCATTCTTATGGCGTTGATATCAAAACTGAAGATATTGGTGATAATATGGCAGCTTATGTATGGGAACCTGCTGTTGTAAAAATTAATGCACTAACGGCTGCTACCGAAGCAGCATGTCTCATTTTATCTGTGGATGAGACTATAAAGAATCCTAAAAGTAGTCAGGATGCTCCTACAGTGGGTCGTGGCATGGGAAGACCAATGTAATAATAAAACCCTTTATTGGCTTGAAAAAACATGTACTAATGTAATGCAAAATAATTCTTTTATATCGTTACAAATTATTGGACTACTCAACGCGATTTTTGCATACTTCTTTCCTACATTGTAATATATGACAAATTATATTTCACATTTTTTTACACGAAGTGCTTCAATATTTTGCCATTAAAGTTATTATCACTAACATTTATTATTGTTTTAATTACACGTCATGTAAACGAATTAAAAGATGACACGCCTTTGCATTTATCACATTACGAAATATTGATCTAATTATAAAATTAAGTATTAAAATGAAAATGTACTATGTATGCTTTAAAAAAATTACAATAATTATTATATTAAGATGTTCGCAAATAATTTATAATTTGCCCTTTTTTTGATATTTTGTGACATTTTTGTTCAACATTATTGTGTTAAATTAAAAATAAACTATAACTTTAATCATTTTGAACCTATATTGTTCTATTTGTATTTTTCAGAAACTTGAATATCTCCTCTATAGCTTTGTTACAAAAATTAAAATGTTCACTAATATAGTTTATAAAAAACATTATTATTGCCAATAAGTATTGAATTAATCTTCTAGTAACGACATTTTAAGCTTTATAATCCAAATTCAAATTGTTATTCCATAATTATAAGTATCGATGAATTGAAGACAACTTCATTTGCGTAAGACAGAACGTAGCTTTGACTATGTTCATAGGAGACTGACGAGTTCCATACTGTTTGTAAATAAAGCGTGATGTGACCCTTGAGTAAGAAAAATATATACATCGCGTAAATTCATTCTGGGATATATTTAAAAAATGTCTAAAAAAACAGGCATAAATCCTTAATCACTATTGCAAACAGAAATTTTATTTAATAGAAAAAATCACTCAACTATTAAGTACTAGATAATTATAGAACCGGCAAATATGAAAACCGAAATATCTTGGAAACGTCGATTTCTGCGAAAAAAATTGAAATTTACATTGATTTGTGTGTTTATGGTTGCTATCATTTTCGTTGGTTATCAGTTATTTTATTATAAAGAACTTAATCAAGCGATCGTAGGAAAATTAATTAGTGGCTCTGTACGATCATCTAATTATATTATTTCTGATAAAGTGCATTCAAAATGGAATCGTTCATTGCATTCTAAACTTCTTGGCGATAAGGAAGGTCGAACTGTGTCGTTGCGTGGAACACGTGATCAAGATATTTCAAAATACCTGCCAAATGTGCGAGGAAAATTTGTCTGTTTTGCTTCAAAAGATCAAATAGAGTTTACTAAAATTAACGACAATTATTGTGACTGTCCTTTGGATGGTAGTGATGAACCTGGTACTAATGCATGTAACAATGGTGTTTTTAATTGTGAAATAACGTCCTCACAATTTACAGGTATTTAATAGCTTGGATTTTATTATATATCTGTTTTTCTTTCAATAATATTATTAATAATTTCAAACAAACTTCAGCAAAAATACCATCTTATAAAGTTAATGATGGATATTGTGATTGTTGCGATGGATCTGATGAGTGGGCTGAAGTTAAATTATCACATTTAAATAATGGTAAGTGTTTTTATTAAACACACACACATACATTAAGACAGCTTTTAAATCATTGTTTTATACTAATTATTAATCATTTGTTTCAGAATCTGGGAGTATAATTTACTACCGTACCAAATGTCAAAATAAATGCTAGTAAAATATAATAAAACAACGTGTTTGAAACATATTTAATATTCATGTAAAATATTTATTTTACATAGATCTTTATACCATCTAAGTTAATATTTCTACATTGTGTATAAAATTTTATAATGTATCAAAGTTACTTTTTTACTTCCCCATGTAATTTATGTTATATGACAATATAATTAAGCAAATATTAGTTAGCTTTAAGAAGGTATTTAAATATTAGATAGAAATATTGCATGATAGATATGGGGAATATATAAAAATACATTGTAAAACAGATTTTTCAAGTGACATATTAAGTTAATATATGAACATATGATTATTACAATAAGCTGTAATAGTACAAAAAGCAATTAAAATTAACAATTCTAGAAGTGCAGTTGATCTCCTATTATCAATATTTAGCTATGTGTAGATCACATAAATATTGAATTAGAAAAGTGAAAAGTAAACTATAATTTAAATTTTAAGTCTTGTTACAGTTTTGAATTTTCTTTAATTTAATTTTTAGTCTTCTGTAATTCATTTAGATAATAGAGGTTCTGCTGTTTATAAAAAATTTGTATATGTAATGTACTTACTAATTAACTTTTAATAATATTATAACACAATTAACTTACTAATAAAATTGAACATTAGAAATTGTCATAAATATTTTTTATTTAATATCATCATCATAAATAATGTATATATAACAATATTATTGTGCATAATTTCTGATAGCTTTAAGAACATTAAAATGATTTTTTAAGCTTCTTGGCTTATCTGAAAAATGTAAAGTTCTTTTTACAGGAATTTCCATGCTTTGTAAAATATTACAAAATTGAATTTCTTCTTGACAAATCCATGGACGATACGTGTCTTGAACTTGATATGGTGTAACATGAACATGAACATCTATTTCTAAAACAATATATTAGTTCTGATTATTGAAAAATTTGGCAAATGAATTTTTCAAGTTTGATAAATTATATTACTTAATTTTGCAAAAGACTCCAGTATGGATGTTTCAGTAATCCATGTATTCTTAGAACCTGCATGTCCACCATCTAACCACCACATACTTTCAATAAGTTTTATAAAATTATTTATTCCAATATCAGATTTTGGTTTATTTTGATAATAATGAAACTCATGAAGTAATTGATTCAAGACAACACAACCTTTACTAAAACCCATTAATGTTAGTTTTGTTTTTTCAATACTAAAATGAGTAGGATCCTAAAAACTCAAACATATGTATTTCAATTAAAAATTGTAATTTGCAATTGTATACATATGGTATAATTTAGAATATACCTCATCTGCATAGCATGTTTTAATGTGATCTAAAGATGATTTAACTAATTCTTGTATATGTTTTAAAGCATCATGTGTTGGGGCAAACAATGGTACACCATATTCATTAGATGGAACAAAATTATCAAAACAACTAAACATAGCATTCCTTGTTACATATATCCTGAAATAATGTTAAAAATAATAATAAAAAGTATAAAAAATTGTCTGTTTTTGCTCAAGTTAAATTACATATTACCTGGATGGCCGAATAACAAGTATATGTTTTTTGGGAAAGTTTATTGAAAGTATCTGGGCAGTATTTTGTAAACTCCATTCTATATATTTTTTACTATCTGCATGTTGTTCCATGTTTTCTTGAATGTCCTTCATTCAAAATGTATTTATATGATGTACTGTAAAATCTTACTTGTTAGAGTTACAATTATGAACAGTATTTTATATACCTGAACATCACCTCCAAAATATAAAAGGACATCCTGACTTGATGGTAATATTGGGCAAGAATAAATTATATCATTACATCGGCCGATGATACCGGGAACTTTCCTCCAAACCCAAATTTTGGACGACATGATGTTTCAATATTATTTTAGAAAATTATAATAAAAACTTGTGCAATAAATCATATTAACAATTAGTTGAATTCTTACTTTGTGTTTAATATATTTAGTAAAGAAATGAAATTAATGAAAGAGAAAAACTAGTACTTCACAGTAGATACAATGCGCCATATTCGCTTTTTTGAGAATTATATGTTTTCTAATTTTAACGTTCAGCTTCGAGGATTTTTGCCTCGCTTTAGTATAATTCCTTCACACTTACACATTTCTTTTACACATTTGTTTAATATTTATACTAGTACAAAAACAGTTGTCAAATTACGATGTATTAATGAAATACACGCAATACTGTACTATGGTTTTCAATAATTTAGTATTTCAGATTGAACAACATTTTCGTTACATTCGTAATTATTAGTAAAATAGAAAATTGAACAAAAACTTGCTTAAAAAAATGATGCTGTACATTTTTATAACATTAAAGCACGTGGTGTCTGCATTTCAATAATAAATCAATATGAATTTAAACTTTCATATAAGATGGCATGATCATACGTAATATTGTATATAAGAGTAGTAATTAAAATATAAAGAATTCTTATTATCTCAAATATTATACATATATGTATAAATTATGTGCAATTTCAGAACTATTTTGAAACTCAGTTTTATCATGAATAGAGTCCAACAGTTATTACGTAAATCTCATGACAAAAATAGTGAACGTTGAATCTAATTTTATTCTAATATTTACTTATATTTATACCACACGTTTAATATTTTAACAGTTTTTAAATAGTTCAATTAACATATTTCTAAGTTGTCACATAACCCATCTTCGTAAATATTTTTTTCAGTTTTAAAGAAATATAAATCGAATTCGATCATGCAACGTGATCTGGACTTAAACAGAACAGTGTGGGATCCTTTACAAATATTTAATTGTGATACACATTATAAATATGCTGTTGTTATATTAAATAGTCCACTAAATTGGAAAGATGACAGTTTACTTCAAATTTGGAAGAAAGGTGTTTTCAATGTTTAGAAGTAGTATTGTATTAAAAAGAATTGTATACATTGATAATTGATTGAAAATGTTTTATTAAAACATATGTATATTATTTAGCTCAGATCAAAGTCACTGTCGATGGTGGAACATATAGGTGGTTACATTATTTAAAAGAGCAAGGTATAGATCTATTAAGAGAAAATCATAGTGAATATGTGCCACATTTAATTACTGGTGATATGGATAGTTGCACTCCTTCAATTCTTGAAAACTTAAAGCGTGTAGGTTCAATGATCATTGAAACTCCTGATCAAGATCACACAGATTATGCAAAAGCTTTGTTTCAATTGGGACAGTATGCTACAAAAGAAAATATAAACGTAATATTTAATGTTTTTTTAAATGTTTTCAAATAATTTGTATTTAATAACAAGAAAATTATTGTTGACAGTTAAATGGAATATACGTATTTGTAGACTCTTCAGGAAGATTTGATCATATCATGGGAAATATTAATACCCTTTATAAAAGTGAAAAGCTTATTGGACACATACCGGTAATTTTTACTTGTTGTATTGTTGTTTTTTAACTATTTCTTATTTATTTTAATTTTAAAGTATATAATTCTATTTATTTTGTTTATTTATTAGGTGATCCAAATTGCAAGCAGCTCATTGACATGGATTTTGAGACCAGGTCTTCATAATATAGTCATTCCTAAAATTTTGGTACAAAATAGTAGTTGGTGTGGGCTTTTGCCAATTGGTGCACCTGTTAATTCGATAAGAACAACTGGTTTGAAGTGGAATTTAAGTATGTATTGACGTACTGATAATGAAAGGGAAATGTTTTAATTATTTCAATACTATAAAAAAATGTTTACCTTTTTAGATAATGCAACTTTACAATTTGGGGCTTTGGTGAGTTCTTCAAATACTTACGACAACTGCTCTGAAGTAACTGTAAATACAGATTCATCAGTAATATGGACTATGGGTATTGAACCACTACAAAAAAATATAAATAATTATGAAATATTTACATCAAATAATTGCTGTTGATGTTTAGTTAATTGATCATCTTCAATACTTAAATGTTTTTGTGTAATAGTGAAGCAGGTATTTTGTATATGCAATGTAGCATTGTATATGAAATGCAGAAATATCTCGTAGATCGTTGAAGATATGAAAAAATTGTTATTACGAGAGTTATTTGGTATGGAGGGGGTCATTGTATGGTGCAAACAGTTTTTTGTACATGAAATTGTAGGGGAAATTTTAAGGTCAACTTAACTTTTTTAAGTGGAATACTATACACCTTTATTTATAATATGATGGCGTTGTGCTAACGGTGTGCCACATAATTCAATGTTGCAGAAGGTCATTCAATATATTAGAAGGTTATAAATTAGTGAGATCCCAAGGAGTTAGGTCAACACAAATGGTGTGTCGTTGGTTAGCCAAACCCGTGCTATGGATTTGAACCAGATCACCTAATATCTGCTAAATTGTCTGTTCTGTTGTTGTGCTTATGACATACTACATTGAATGTCCGTATGTAGCAAACCGTTGAATTCGTCTTAACAAGTACCATCGTATTATGAATAAAGTTGTATAGTACTCCATTTAAAAAAATTAAATTGATCTTGAAATCTACAATTTTATATACAAAAAATGATTTACACCATACAATGTCCCCTTCCATATGAAATAACTCTCATAATAACAATTTTTTTATATCTTCAACTATTTACGAAATATTCTTGCGTTTTCAGTTAAACGAAACACACGGAAAAGTATAATTTTATTTATACAATAACAAGTAAATTATAAGTGTGCAATTAAATCTCAGTATTCATTACCCTTCTGAAAAGTGTAAATGTATTAAAAATTAGCATTTTAATATTTTTACAATATTTACATTGTTTAATATATGATACTTAAATTGTTTTGTGATTAATAACAGTCATATCAAACATGTTCTTCGATTATATTTTAGAACTTTTGGGATGTATACACTTAGTATGTTACTTAATTTGCGTTATTTAGGTGGATATTGTGATATTATAATTTTTTTAAATAATTGATTTTAACAAATTATTTATTTTAATAATTTAGTAAGGGTTTCATGTACATTATTTATGTATTTCTACATATGTTGATTTTTATTTTTTATTTGTGTAGTTTAAGTATAATGTATTTTTTAAATCATTCACTAACATGTAAGAATGACAATATGTACTAATTGCCTATTTTGAGGCCAAATAATGTTACAGTCATTAGCAGAACTGCTTGAAATATTTAAAATAATGTTTAAGTCTTTAAAGTATTCAAATATTTCTTTATTACTATTACTATTATTATCACTCTTACATTTTTTAGTGTTTTAGTTTTTATGGTAGAAATGTTTAAGTGTGAAGAAGTTAAGCACAAATATAATATGCAGAGTGATTCTAGCAACTAGGCTAGCAATGGAGCTAGCTCATCTAGCAATTTCTTTTTTATGACTTTCGGAACATTTTACGTATAAAAGCATTAGGATATAATGTTAGAAGAATCTATCGTGAGATATTAAGATCTTTGATAAGACTTATCTTTTATTCCATGCGTTCGAACGTTTCGCCGTCACGTGTTTAACGAAACATGTGTCTTATCGAATATTTGAAATATTTCATGAAGTATTGGTTTTTCTAAGCTCATATCCTAATACTTTTATACGTGTAATGTTCCGAATAGTCTATCAATGATATTAAGGGTTAATGTGTTCTGTGGTACATGGGTGATAAATATATAATAGATGATATTCTTAATTAAAGTATATTTATTTCTCATTTAAACAAAACACATTATAATTTCGTAATATTTTATTCTAATAA